AGCCAGCCCAGGGAGGGATTGAAGTGTTCTAGTTCCAGAGATGTCTGGAAGACAGAACGGGCAGCTGTCAGCATCAGGGCAAAGAGAGGTGGACCAGAATGGCTCTTTGATGTCTGAGTTGGGGCTTCTCCTCCCAGACCCCCAGCTCAGCCCACTCAATCTGCCTGTCAACTCCTTGAGGAACCCTAACCTCCCCCACTCACACATGGATTAGACCCTGGACCACACAGTCCAGGAATTTGATGTGACTTCAAGGAAGATGAAAGAGCCATCTGCATCGCCAGCCCAGCGACACCCAGAATGGGGGCCTCCTCCGTCCTCTCCCCCAACCTGTTTCTCCAGATCGAAGACACTTAGAAGCGCTTGGCACTTAGAAGATCCTGGATCAGTATTTGTCAAAGGCAAATGATGGCAGGAAGCATCACTGTAGCAGAAAACACATCAATTCTAGAACTCGTCCCGGCTCAGATGTTGGAGAAGACGATGCAGATGCTGTTTCAATAACTACACTTGCTTTATGCAGTTACTGTGCACTTGACTCTTGAGTGTTAGGGTCAACTTGATCATTGACTCTTCTCTGCATGCTTCTGAGGATTTATGACCATCTCTTCCATCAAACAGGTGGAAAAACAGAGGCTCCATCACGAATCTGAACTTGGGCCTCTCTCCCCGTTTCCAGCACATTGGCTGCAGGAGGTGACTCCACAGTGGGCAGGAGGTGAGGGGAGAGGAAGGTGGACTCTCTGTTCCTAGCTGGATATCCAGGTTGTCACTCTTGGATCCTGGGTATCAGCCCCAGGGGAAAGGTTGTCCTGGCAACGTGACTCTCAACAAGATGCCCATCCCTTTAGAATGCCCGGGGCACCCCAGAACCTCGGATTTCCCCTGAAACTCAGCTGCTGCGTGTCTGTCAGCATCCACTGTCTGTTCAGCAGTGGTCGGTGCCTCTGATCTCTTCGAGAGTGGTCCCCTTGTCCCCGTAGCCTAGGCACACACTGTCCTTGGGTCATACCTCAGTGCCTGGAAGACTGTGAGTGGACTTCTTGTACCATGGATAGGAACGGATGTCCTGTAACTCCGATGCCTTATCCTCCCAGAGGCCTGTCACTCAAAGATCTGGGACCTGGGATGAGAGCCTTGAGACATGGCAGGTTCCCAGCTTCCCCAAGCCTGGAGCTCTGAGGCCGGTGTCCAGGGCAAAGTCCCTGCCCGGGCAAAACCACTGTGATGAAGCTCCCAGGAAGGGGGACATGTGGGCACCTGCAATCCCAGCTCTCCCTCCAAGATCTCCCCCAACAGCACTTTATTTGTTTTGAGTTGGACACCTGATGAAATTGAAACTGGAAGTTTTAGTTTACGGCAAGAATGTTACTGATTTTTGGTTTCTGTAGCTCCGCTTCAGGTGGGGAGCTGGTCCCATATTTCTTTTTTCTAATGTATCTCCTTTTTTAAAAATAACTTTATTTTTTTATGTGGAGCTGAGAATCGAAGCCAGTGCCTCACATGTGCTGGGCAAGTGCTCTAGCTCTGAGCCCCAGCCCGGCCCCCTCCTTTTTTACTACCCCATATTTTATACAGATGGTGGATTTCGTGGCGGCCTGCTCCCATCTACATAAAACATCATTTGCTCAATTCCCTGACGCCTTCCTCTCCCTGCCCTCTCCCTCCCTGCCCCCTTCCTCCATCATAATGGTCTCCCTGCTGCTTTTATGGTGTCCTTTTTTTTCTCCTTAATTTCCACAAATGAGGGAAAAAAAAACATAAAGATAATTTTCTGATTCTGACTTATCTCACTCAAAATCACGTTCTCTAGTTCCATCCATTTTGCTACAAATGACCTAGTTTTGTGCTTCCTTATGGCCCAATAAAACCCCATTCTGGCCGGGCACAGTAGCCCATGCCTGTCATCCTAGCAGCTCAGGAGGCTGAGGCAGGAGGATCCCGAGTTCAAAGCCAGCCTCAGCAACAGCGAGGCCCTAAGCACCTCAGTGAGACCCTGACTCTAAATAAAATGTAAAATAGGGCTGGGGATGGGGCTCAGTGGTCCAGTGTCCCGAGTTCAATCTTAGGTACCACAAAAACAACAACAAAAACAACAACAACAAAAAATCCACCCCCATTGTGTACACACACCACATCTTCTTTATCCATTCACCCCGTGATGGACTCCTAGGCTGGTTCATACTTTGCCTACCATGATTTGTGCTGCTATAAACATGGGTATGCATGTGTCCCTGTAGTAAGGTGACTTTAATTCTCCAGGGTAAATACCGAAGAGTGGTACAACTGGGTCATGTGGTGGCTCTATTTTCGAGCTGCTGCCATTTCGAGGGCTGGTTGGAACTGGGACGGAGGCAGGGACAGCAGGGGGACTGCTCCCCGGTGACACTCACTGAGGCCTTTGGATGTGTTATTTTTCACTGGTTTCTTTCAGGCTTATTGCTTATTTTTGCTTCTAATTTTAAACGTTCTCTGTTTTGGTGACAACATGTTCTGTGTTCGTCAACTTGCTATCAAAACAATACATTAAATAAAAAATAATGACTTTCTTCCTTCCTCTGGTCCTGTCTGCTGTTTGTTTTGGCCAGCGATGCATCGCCTTGCGTCAGCCGTGCTGCTAGGCCCCTGTTTTCCCAGGTTAGCGCCAGGGAGAAAATGAGGATGTCCAGTGTAGAAAGCAATCCAGGAGCTCTGTACTAGGACGGCAAAGAAGTCTTAGGACTAACGTAACAGGTGACATTTCTTGCATGTTTTCTTTTTATAGAACCCACCAGATTGATACACTGAAAAGAAAACTGTGCTGTCTAAATAAGTCCAAAATAGTTCTTCTGAGAAGTATAAAATAGGGGCTGGGGTTGTGGCTCAGCATAGAGCACTCGCCTAGCATGTGTGAGGCACTGGGTTCCATCCTCAGCACCACATAAAAACAAATAAATAAAATAAAGGTATTGTGTCCAACTACAACTAAAAATATATATTTTTAAAAAAGATGATGTATAAAATAAAAGTTCTGATGATCAAAAAACACAGTTCTGTTTTTTCAAAACCTTAGAAAACTCAGGCTAGGCCAGGCATGGTGGCACACGCCGGTCTTCCCAGCGGCTCTTGGGAGGCTGAGGCAGGAGGATCTCGAGTTCAAAACCAGCCTCAGCAACGGCAAGGCACTAAGCAACTCAGTGAGACCCTGTCTCTAAATAAAGTACAAAATAGGGTTGGGGATAGGGCTCCGTGGTCGAGTGCCCCTGAGATCAATCCTTAATACCCCCACACACCAAAAAAAAAAAGGGGGGGGGACTTGAGATGGGAATCTTTTGTAGCTTGACTTTAAAACCAGACTCACAGAAGATTAGAGCTAAATAACAGAGTCTTAGAGACTCCTGGGGCTTTGGAACCATAGAATCCCAGCTTCAGAGTCCTGGGGCTAGAAGGACATTTGAGCTGCTATTTTACCAATGGAAAGAATGAGACCCTGGGGACCGAAGCTCTTTGCCTGACACTTCCCAGCATCCAACAAAGGAAGAGAATTCACACATCCTTTCACACATGGTGCTGCAGGGCCGCCAAGTACAGCTGTGCAAGTTGGGCACAGTACAAGGTGCCACAGAGATGTTCTAGACAATGCAGATCCATACCAAAAATTTCTGGCAGATGGCGGTAAAATGTCTTGAGTTCGAGACATCTTTTCTATCATCTGTGCAGAAGTGTCATATGGGGGTAGCGAGGACCCTGCTGTTCACTCGGCCTGGAGTATCATCTTCCTCATTCTCCACCAAGCGAGCTCCCACTTGGTCCTTTAGGTACTCCCTCCTCCCAGGAGATCTCCATAGCAACGCCCCCCAGGCTTCCTGCATGGATATATGGTTACTGTCCACTGTTGACACAGGAGTCAATAACCACTACTGGGGACTTCCAACAGAGATAGCTCCGGGTAGAACCTGGACCAGGATTCAACAACACCAAACACACACACAACACAGTGTTCGATCTTCATTGATTGAATCAGGCGTGGGGGGGGGGCGAGTGTCTTTCGCCTTCTTCTCTGATGCTTGCTAATCCAGGGAGCAAGTAGGGCCCAGGCTCAGAGGCTTGGGTGGGCAGAGGTGTCTGCTGAGAACTCAGTTCTTCTTTAAATTGTATTTGATTTATTTATAGGATTGCTTTCTATCTCTGGTATCGGATACTGATGGTCTACTTCCTGGAGTGCTATAAAAGTTTTATTTACGAATCGGTGCATTTGGGTACAATGGCAGTCAGTCTGTGTAAATAAGAATTCTGAGTACATAACAGACCAGGTGGTATTCCGATGGAATAAAATACAATAAAACAAGGAGGTGGTGCACGAGAGATCCCAGAGTTTGCAAACACAGATTTGGTGCCTGGCTTCAAGTCTAGACTTGCTAGCTGTGTGACTTAGGGAGAGTCGCCTCCCTTCTCTGAATCTCAATTTTTTCACATGTAAAATGGAATGATCCTAACTCCAACCCCCTAGAGTAGTCTGAGAGACATACCAGGATGATGTGTAGAAAGAACTGTGCTTGGGGCTGGGGACATAGCTCAGTTGGTAGAGCACTTGCCTTGCACAAAGCCCTGGGTTCAATCCCCAGTAGCACAAAAACAAACAAACAAAACCCCTTTGCCTCATTTGCTCTTTCTATTTTTGGGGACTAAGATAGAGGAAGCCACCGTGTAGCAACGAGGGGGACCTTGCAACACACTTGGGCTCACAGACTCAGCTCGGCTTTAGGAAGTTTTATTTGCATGGGGAAGACGGGGACATGGAGGGGGGGTGGGGCGGGGGTCTGCGGGAGGGGTGCAGAGCGGACTCACTTGGGGGGCTCGGCGGCCAGCACCGGGAAGCAGCCCTCGCGGTGCCACTGCCTGTCACGCAGGCGGCGCACGGCCTGCATCTGCGGCTGGAAGGCGCCCCACTCGTTCCAGTGGCGGAAGTCGCCGGGCTCCAGGAGGTACTGGTATCCGCGGTAGCCTGGATACTGGTAGCCGACCCAGCTGCGAGGAAGCCGAGGGCAGCATGCGAGAGCGGCCGCGTCTCCAGCTGCCCTCAGCCAGGGGGGCCTGCTCTTCTGACCTGGCCCCGCCCCTTTCTGCTGTGTGCCCTTAAGCAAGGTATTCACGTCTCTGATTCCCTCCTCCGAAAAGTGGCATGTGGCTAGTTTATTCCTTTCTGATATTTTGATTCCGGGGATTGAACCTGCGAGGGTGGCCTGAGGCCTGCGCCTAAGCAACTCCATTTTAAAATCTCCAGTTTGACCTGCCGTGTCACCAGGCACACCACAGAGCCCCCCAGGGTGGCCTCAGACAAGTCACTTCCCCTCACCCCCATAAAGACAGTGAAGCCCGGGGCAGGCTGTCCTCGCCTGATAAGAGGGAAAGGCCAGAAGATCCTGGTGGTGACCACCAGACCAGATGCTTCTGACCTCAGGGTAGTAAATGATGTCACTGAGAAATCCACGGTAGTTGATAAGGATTGAAAGGGGGGGATCAAAAAAGAAACCCCAAAATTTAGTATGACTAATACAGCAAATGAGCAGGGATTCAGCCAGCCGGAACAAGGATGCACTGCAGCTGGAGAGCCCGATGAGGACCTGACATCCCATCCCTTGTCATCGTTCCTGAGCCTCTGCGTCATCCTCACCGCCCTCAGACTCTACCGCCTCCTCTGGACCTTGGTGAGAGAGCGACTCCTCCCTACCACCCCCTCCTCAACCGGTCGTCCACTCCCCGCCAGGAAAAGCCCGCCTTGGTTCTGGACCTGGTCACGGCGGTCTGAGTGAGTGTGCATCTGCTGAACATAAAGCCTAAGGCTTGAGACTTTTGAACTTAGCACGCAGAGCGAATGTCTGTCACTAGCCTGTCACGATCAAGTGTGTTTTGCAGGGCTTAGAAGTAATCTAGAATGGTTTGCTGTGAATTGATCATGTCTATTGCAGTGCCTAGCATTAAGGATTGTTGTTTTCTTGATTAAGAATCTAGAGAGTGAAACTGTATTGAGTGATTTGAGTGAATAAAGCATGGACATTCTTTATTTCTCCCCTCGACTGCTTATGTTGCAATTTTGCCCCCTTGCAACAGAACCCAAGGGTGCTTTACTACTGAGCTACATCCCCAAGTCTTTTTTTTTTTTTTTTTTTTTTTTTTTTGAGACAGGGTCTCACTGCGTTGCTTAAGGTCTAAGTTGCGATCCTCCTGCCTCAGCCTCCCATTTGTGATTCTCCTGCCTCAGCGTCCCGAGCCACAGGGATGACAGGCATAACCATGGTGCCTGGTTTATGAAGTGTGTTCTGGGGTCAGATGGAAAAGCCACACCTACAGTGTTTGCTAAGCACATTGCCTGTGAGAGGTAAGGAGACTAATACTCATCCTCTGGACATGGAAACCCGGGGCTCAGGGAAGAATGGGATTAATATGTGTGGCTGGGGCTTAGGGACTGGATGCTACTGAGCTGAACAAGAGGGGGAGCCTGATTTCTCAAGATGGGTTTCCTCTGTGCATAAGCGAGGCTGAGAACACACTCTCTGGAATCCAGACACGCCAGGGCTCCATCCTAGCTCTGCCATTGATAGGCTGTGAGAATCCAGGTGCAGATGGCACCCTGCGGGAGGTGGGGGTGGAGACACACCTCCCTCACTGGTTGCTGATGAGGATGTGATAACTACCCATTTAAAGGGGCCAGCCTGGGGCTTACTCGGTGGTAAACACTCTAAAGACTTATTATTATCATTCCTGACTTCCATCATCATGTCTGTGGCCTCTCCTGGACACTGTTCATCTCTCAAGTCTGCTAAAGCTTCAGCCTCTGCACATAAACCCCTGCCCGCCCTCCCCCAGCTCGCACAGCCCGGTCCCCACAACTGTCCTGCCCCCTCTGACCTCTGGCAGCGCGGGTGCCTTATCTGGGCCCTCTGTTCCTGGCATCTCTGGACACCGTCTCACGGGGACCTGGGGTCTCCCCTGCTGGGCAGGGTAAGCTTCCCGAGGCAGGAACTGGGCTGTCTTTGCTCCTGTCCCCTGGGCTGTGTGCCTACCGCAGTGCCCCCCTCTCTGGAGAGACTCAGTGTATTTCAGGTGGCTTGGGAGACGGGGTTCCATTTTCAGGGAAACGAACAAGAAAAAGTTCCTATAGACCACTGAGGGATCTTGGGAGGAGTTTGGAGGTGGAGAGACAGGAGGCTCACATTTGCCAGAGGAGACCAGGGCGCCCTGCCTGATGGCTGGAGGGCAGGGAGATGGAGAAGGTGACCTCTCTGGGCCTCAGCCCTTCCCTGTGTTCTCATGAACATAGGCTCGTGGGGCCCTCTGTTTGGAAATCTTTTTTTTTTCTTTTCTTTTTTTTTTTTTTTGGTGATGGGGATTCAACTCAGGAGCACTTGACCACCAAGTCAAGCACTTGACCACCCACCCCAGCCCTATTCTGTATTTTATTTAGAGACAGGGTCTCTCTGAGTTGCATAGGGCCTCACTTTTGTTTTGAGGCTGGCTTTGGACTTGCGATCCTCCTGCCTCAGCCTCCCTAGCCGCTGGGATGACAGGCGGGTGCCACTGTGCCTGGCTTGGAAATCTTTAACACTTGGGACTTTGAAGCAGAAAGTTCCCATTTAGATGGACATCTTGTCTACCCATTGTTCAGGGGGCAAGAGTGATGCTCAGAGAGGAACAGGGGCTCCCCGGGACCCTCAGCACATCGGATGGGGGTCAAGACCCTCTCCTGACAGGCTCACCCCTCTGAGGGGCTTCAGGCTTCCCTGCGGTGCCCTGCCCCCAGGCTGACCTGCATCCGCACCAGCTCTGACGGCCCCCAGGAGCCCTTTAGTCCCCCTCTGGCCCAGCCACGCCCCTTTCTCCATCACCAGCTTTTCGGAACCAATCACCCGACATGGAATCCTTCAAGTGGCTGGGTCCCCGGGGGAACAGGGCCCAGCTGGCGCCCTGCGGCACCCCCCCTCCAGGGTGGGGCGTGGCCTCCCCAGGAGCCCTGGAGCCCTCTGCGCTCGGCCTGGGGCGGGGACGGGGAAGGTGCTTACGTCCCGCTGGAGACCCTCACGCTGCCCACGCGGTCACAGAGGCCGTAGACCCAGAGGCTGGGCACGTCGTCCTCCTGGATCTCCACGGTGTTGCCCTTGAAGTTGGCCCCTTCAAACAGGCTGATCTTGTGCTCCTGGGAGTCCTGCGGGGGAGAGGCTGGGTCGGCCAGGCGCAGTAGGGAGGAGCCGAGGGGACTTTTAGTGGAGAGGGAGGACCGAGTCTCCAGAGAGCACCGCTTCCTGGCCTGGAAGGACCCGCCTTATCTGTGAAAAGGAGCCGTCGGCCCCTGTGACACTGGCTAACACCAGGGTGGCGTGAATCCATCCATGCAAAGCACTGAGCACGATTGATTCTCGGCTTGCGCTCAATGCTCAAAGATGTGTTTGTTATTTCTGTTACGGTGGCCGAGGGCCCAGAGGCCCAGAGAGGTCAACTTTCTTGATCAATGACACACAGCCAGTGAAGTGCAAAAGCTTTCGGAGATATCCGCGTCTCTCCACCGTCAGGAGTTCAGTCAGATGCCCTTTGGTCAGCTGGTTCCTGCAATTACGAATTGTCCCTGGATGCGCGGGGGCACTAGGGGAACACAGGTCTGCGTTCAAATCCCACATCTGATATTTATGTGTTGAGGACCTTGGGCATTTTACCCAGCCCCTCGGAGCCCCCGTTTGCTCACCTGTAGAATGGACCTACAGTCCTCTCAGGCTGACACTGGGAATTGTACCTGCTCAACTCAGGGCTCAGCAACAGCTGCCAGAGGCCAATCCCTGCGGTGGCCATGTGACTCGGTGCTCACTTCCACTACCTGTCAGTGTTTCCATGACCCCGGATCTTGTTTTTTTAAGCATACTTATTATTTCTTTTCTTTTTTTTTTTTTTTTGATACCAGGATTGAACCCAGGGCACGTAACCCCTGATCCACATCCCCAGCCCTTTTTATATTTTATTTAGAGACAGGGTCTCCCTGAGTTGCTGAGGGCCTCACTAACTTGCTGAGGCTGCCTTTGAACTCACGATCCTCCTGCCTCAGCCTCCAGAGCCACAGGGATGACAGGTGTGCACTGCGGCGCCCGCCTCATAGCGATTATTTCTGAGGGCAGCGATCACCCATCTTTTCAAAAGAGCTCTTCTAGGCCCAAGGGATGAGCTGCTGCCCAGGTGGATGGGCAAGTGCAGCAGGAATAGCGCCGACCTCAAGGGTCTCTGATGTGGGCAGAGCCGAGTTTAAGTCCCAGCCTTGTCCCTGACCTGCTCTGTGGCCATAGCCCTTCATTCTGAGCCTCTTTTCCCTTGGTTTTTGTTTTTTCGAACATGGGTGCTGTGCGGCCTCTGCCCCTGAGGGCTGTTGTGGGGGCTCCATGAAAGGCAGGCAAAGCACCCAGCATTTAGTAGGTGCTCAGTAAACGGGTGCTGGGCTGATTCAGTATTATTGACCATCACATAGAAGGGCAGGCCGCAGGAGCATCTCTCTATGAAAGGCTCCGTGGAAGACTGTAGATGAGGAAAGTCAGTTCCCTCTTCCAGAGGGCAGGAAAGGGGCCAGGGAAGGCCTCACTCAAGGGGGACATTGGAGGGGGGCCTTGGCAGTTATAGAAGAGTGTGTGAGGTGGAAAAGGAGGAGGCTGAGGCGGACGAGAAGCGGAGGGGAAGGTGGGAGGTGGGCATACACCTGGTGGGCGTGTGGAAGGGCAAGTGCTGGAGGTGTGAGTGTGTGGAGTGAGGCAGGGATGGGACAGGGCCACCATGGAGCCATGGTGAGAAATGCCTGCAGTGTGGTCACCAGCCCACGGTGGCCACCTAATGGTGACAGCCATTACCTGTCACTGTTACAGACCTGGGGGCCTCGCAAGGTGAAGCCAGCCCACGGCTCCCTGCTGCTGGTGAGCCCAAGAACAGACCCCCCAAGACCCGGCCCATCAGAGCCTGCAAGACGGTCCTCTGCTGGAGTCCCTCCATCTGCTGCCCCTCACCACCCGCTCTCTGCTGCAGCCACAAGGGCAGCTCCTAATGTCCCGGCCACACCCAGTTCACCCCACTTGCACACAGTACCCCTGGACACTTGGTCCTCTCACGGCCGATATGGTCTCAACCTTCAGGAGCCAGTTTCCCTGACCAGTCCCTGCCCCCAACATCAGAGCCCCAACTTCCCCTCTTCACCTTCCTGTGAGGCTGCGTGGCCCGGACAGCACCCGCCACGGTGCGGGACTACAGACTGATTAAGTTTCCATCAGCCGCCTCTCTTTCTTCTCTTTCAGTACCAGGGACTGAACTCAGGGACCCTGAACCACTGAGCTACATCCCCAGCCCTGTTTTGCATTTTATTTACAGACAGGGTCTCACTGAGTTGCTTAGGGCCTTGCTAAGTTGCTGAGGCTGGCTTTGAACTCGAGATCCTCCTGCCTCAGCCTCCCGAGCTGCTTGGATCATAGACATGTGCCACTGCACCTGGCCACTAGCTGCCTCTTGAGCATAGTGTGAACACCACGGGGACAAGGATCTTGATGTTGTGCCCCTGGGGCCTAGAACAGGACCTGGCCAAAGTAGGCCCACCCAGCCCCAGAGATTTGGAATTAATTGGTTTGGGTGAGTTTGAGCTGTTGAAGTTTAATTTTAATTTTTTTTTTTTTTAGCCCGGCTCAGTGGCGCACACCTGTGGTTTCAAGAGGCTGAGGCAGGAGGATTGCAAGTTCAAAGCCAGCCTCAGCAACTTAGTGAGGTCTTTAGCAACTTATGGATACCCTGTCTATAAATAAAAGTTAAAAATGGGCTGGGGATGTGGCTCAGAGATCAAGCACCTTTGTTCAATTCCTGGTACCAAAAAAATTTTTTTAATACTATAATTTATGTAAACAAATATATCTACAAATATTGTAATCATAATAGGTGACCCATACAATATTAATGTGTCTTACACTCTTTAAAACAATGTTTTACCCTATCTTCAACCCCAGGTTTGTATGATATCCTGACAGCACATCTCCATGCAGAGTGGCCAACATTGAGTTCTAACAGCACCAAATGTCAGTCCAACTACCTCAGCCAGCAGACTTGTGGAAGTTTCTGGAAATGCCCTGACTCCTCTTCCAACAAGCTCCCTGGCACAGAGGGTCATATGAAGGCCATTCAATGACGGGGAGACAAACCTAGGAATTCTTACAAAGAGTCCATTAGGAAGGCTGATAATCCAGCCTCGAGGCTGAGGAAGTCAGGGAGGCTGTGTTGGGGACTCCGCGAAGGTAAGTGTGGTGGTGCCCCATGGCGGCTCCCCGCACCTGGACAGCCGCCAACCACAGTCATGAAAATTCCTCCTGAATTTTCCATCTCGAAAGACAAAAGTCGGTTACCTTTGGAGAGGGCTGCCATGGGTGAGGCAGATGGGTGGTTTGGTGACTCACTGTCGACTCAGCGTTCTGCAAATACCACAGTCACGTGGGCCGGCTCCACTTACCGCCTCGAATCTTCTGTGTGCCGACTCCCACGGCCGGAGGCTGACTACCAGGAAGCCCGGTGGCCTTTCCACAGGCACCCCTTGTTAGCCACGGCACAACTGTCCACGGGCACGTTGGGGATGGCCCTGGGATTTAGAGCTGCCCAGGGGGGTGGCATCAAGGATATGGCAATGCCACCTCCAAAGATCAAGGGAGACACTGAAACCTTCATCTCTCACCTCTGGGAGGCTGATTCCAATCTCCACAGCATGGGACCAGGAAGACACCTGCCTTTTGCAGGGTTGGGGGTACCAGGACTGAACCCAGCAGCACTTGCCCACTGAGCCCCATTTCCAGCCCTATTCTGTGTTTTATTTAGAGACAGGGTCTCACTGAGCTGCTCAGGGCCTCACTGTGGCTGAGGCCGGCTTTGAACTCGCCATCCTCCTGCCTCAGCCTCCCGAGCTCTGGGAGGACAGGCGTGCGTCACCGTGCCTGGCAAAACACCTGCTTTTGAGGTGGTGTTGGCTCGGGGTTCCTAGCACAAAGCCTGGTGCCCACAGTGAGTGCCCGGGTGCTGGACGGATGGATGAGCTCAGGAACCCATGGGTGTCTGACAACCCAGGGTCCTCAGGCTTCTCTGTCCACCATTCCTTCTCTCTTTCCCTTGCCAGGTTACAGGGGGACCTCAGACTTGCCTCTGACCCACGCCACTGAATCCCCAGCCCCTGTGCCGGAGCCCACTCACCATCCTGATGGGCCGGAAAGACATGAGCCGGTCACTCCGGTAGCTGCTGGACCAGGTGTCCCAGCGAGGGTACTCGCCCTTCTCCAGGATGAACATCTCCCCACGGAAGCTGGACTGCTCGAAGGCCACCCAGCTGGATGTGGGAAGGGCGGGGAGGGACAGAGGAAAGGGTCAGCTGATGCCCCTCCTGGATGCCCTTCCTCTCCCCTGGCAAAGCAGCCCCGAGGCCAAGAGGGACATCCCAGTGGCCTCAGGTGCCCGGAATTCATTCTAGGACACACCCCTTAGGCTCTGTGACCAGGAGCAGGTGGCTTTTCCTCCTCTACACTAAAATACCTATTTTTCAGGACTTGGTAAAGCTGAAATGAGATATGGAGTATGATTATCTGAGCAAACCTTTTGCAACTGTAAAGTTCACCCACGCTTTGAGTGCTACAAGGACCGGGGCCCAATGACCCCAAAGAGAGATCTCACTAAAGCCAGGTAACAGCACAGAGAAAGTCCCTGATGCTGATGAGCCTTTAACAATCACCAGTCTCTCTTTCTGTAAGAAAGGAAAAACAGGTCACCTGCCCAGTCCTGAGCAGGCAACGGGATCACAGTGACACTTTCCTGCTCCTTGTGATGTTTTTTTTTTTATGGATACTTTTAAACTTACTATAAATGATACTAGTTTTCCACTTATAAAAGGGCTTCAAAAGTCCTTCTAAAATATATCTATTTGTGTTCAACAAAACCATTTAAAATGAGACATCTTCAATAGCTGATAGCCCCAGAGGCGCAGGACTAAGAGGAAAACGGATACGAGTTTCACAGAGACTGACCTCGCATCCCGGAGATGCCCAGGAGCTGGTATGGGGCCGTGGGAGAGGAGGGTGACGTGTGACATGCCATTTGTCCTTTACGAGGACTAATGAGGAATCTGAAGTCCAGTGGGGGCTTTCCCCATCTCTCTGCACATCCTGACTCAGGATGGGAGGTGAGTTTGTGTTGGAGGGGCCAGCGGTTCTGGGGAGAAGGCTAAGGGGCCCTGGAGTTTTCTACGTGGTTTTAAGTGTTCAGGAGTTCCCAGGGACAAGGGAGGGCTGAGGGGCACGGCCACGGGCATCACTCCCCGGGGGCTGCTAGTAATCCTGTCCCCAGAAGGATGGCAGTGATGATGTGTCACCTTGGACCAACCCTCAGGTCCTGATCTGAGGGGTGAACCAGTAAAACTGAAGGGAAAGAGTAGAAAATGTGGACTTATGTTGGATCTGCCCTAGCTCTGGTCTGGAGTGGAAGGGAAATGGATGGATGGGTGGATGGATGATGGATAGGTGAAGGATGAGTGATGGGTGGGTGGATGAATGGATGGATGGATGATGGATGGATGGATGGATGGATGGATGGATGATGGGTGGATGGATGGATGGTTGAATGATGAATGGTGGATGATGGATGGATGGATGATAGATAGGTGATGGATGGGTGATGGGTGGGTGGATGGATGGATGGATGAT